GACCGTAGTCCTTCGTTTACAGCTGAAGAGCCTGACTGATCAGAGACAGAGGTGCTCTCTGTTTTCACTTGCCTGGGTCTAGCCCTTTCTGGAAAATTGAAGCAACTCTAGAATCAGGAGATCCCATGGCTGCCTTTACCCAGTCCCGATCTGCTCCCCCTCCTTTAGTGCTGGGCTGGCATCCCCTGAGACCCTTGTGTTCTAAAAATTGTTTAAGTAACAGATTTTTAAAAAATGGTGGTCAAATATACATAATGTAAAACCTACCATTTTCTGCATTTTTAAGTATACGGTTAAGTAGCATTAAGCACATTCACAGTGTCATGCAGCCATCACCGTCATGCGGCTCTAGAATTTTCTCGTCATCCCAAACTGTGCCTGTTAAGCAGTAACTCCTCATCCTCCCCAGCCCCTGCCAACCACATCTTACTTTCTGTCTCTATGATTTCGACTAGGTCTCTTATATAGTGGAATCATACAGTATTTGTCTTTTCGTGACTGGCTTATTTCATTTAGCACAGTGGCCTCAAGGTTCGTCCACACTGTCGAGTGTGTCAGAATTTCCTTCCTTTTTAAGGCTGAATAACATTCCATTGTATGTATAGACCACACTTTGCTTACTCACTCATCTATCAATGGACGCTGAGTTGCTTCTACCTTTTAGCAGCTGTGAACATGGGTGCGCAGATATTTGTTCAAGTCTCTGCTATCAGTTCCTTGGGATATATACTCAAAAGTGGAATTGCAGGATCGTATGGCAATTCTGTAGTTAATTTTTTGAGGAGACTTGATTTTTGCCTCTGATTCTCATCCCTCCTGGCCTCTGCGGACTTGACTGTATGGCCAGGACTGAGCTCAGTTTGCTGGGCCATAGCTTCCAGCCTTTGGTCCCTGGCTTCCTGAGTACCCCCGCTTTTCTTCCCATTTAGGTTGAGTGGAGAATGAAGAGAACTGAAGCTTGTTTAGAGGGGCATTGCTGCTCATTAAAAAGAAAAAAAAAATAGAACAAGAATTAGAATTAACTTGGGAGCATTTTCAGGTTTACTTTTGTTTATTGTGGGT